AGGATGGAGCCAGGAGGGGCTGGGCTCTGCTCCCAAGGAACAAGGGATGGGACAAGAGGAAACGGCCTCAAGCTGCACCAGGGCAGGTTTAGATGAAGCTGAGGAACAATTCCTTCCCCAGAGGGTGCTCAGGCATTGGAACAGGCTGCCCAGGGCAGGGCTGGAGTCACCGTCCCTGCAAGTGTTCACACACGGTGGAGACGAGGCCTCAGTGCCATGGGTTAGTGGTGGCCTTGGCAGTGCTGGGGTAAGCGTTGGAGTCCATGAGCTTTAAGGCCTTTCCCCTCCCCGGGCCCTCTCCGCTCCCTCGCTCGCGCCACGCCGGGCCGGGCCGGGCCGCGCTGGCTGCCACGGCGCTGGGAACGGAACGGAGCGGGCGGGGCCGCGGCTGCAGCCGGAGCTTTCGCCGGACGGGACCGCGCTGCCGGAAGCACCGTGTGTGTGGTGGAGCGGAGCCGGCGGCGAGCGGCGCCGGTGCTGCAGGTACGGGCCTGGGCTGGGGCTGGGAGCGGTGGAGCCCGGCGGAGGCTGCCCCGGAGGGTCATGGATGAGGGAATGGAGCTCTGGGGAGGCCTTTGAGCGGCGCTCGGGGGTTGGTGGATGGGGTGGGAAGCGGTCTATGGGAGGAGAAGAGAGGAGAAACTGAGGGAAACGCCGGTAACCGGAGTGGTCTGAGGGGCAGGGCAGGCGTTGGGTGAAGGAGAAGTTGCTGTGGGGGAGCAGCTACAACTACCTGGAAGGAGGCTGCAGTGAGGTGTGTAGTGAGGTCTTTTCCAACCTAGTTGATTCTGTGCAGTTGGGAAGGGAGGTGGATGTGGGTTTGGGTGTGGATCTGGTCCGCAGCAGCAGCAGCGGCGGCGGCGGTGGTGTTGGGGTTGTGGCCGCTTGGTGGGTTTGTTGTCTGTGTGCGGGCAGTGCTGTGGCGAGGATGTCTTCTGTGCTCGGTGTAGTGCTGGGGTGGAGGTAGCACAAGAATTACAAAGTTAACACTTCGTAAGTACTGACATGGTGTCACATTCACACGGGGTTTTCAGGTGGGAAATATTTTAGCAGGGCAAAACTTACGGATTGTGTCCTAAAACCATAGAGTGCAGAGATAACGGATGTAGTGAGGTAATGGCATCGCATGGAATGGGCTGGAAGGTAAATGATAAACACCAGCAGGTACTCCCATCTGTTTCATTTTAAAACTGTGTTTTACATTTGTGAGGGAGTCGTGGGTACCAGAGAAAAGGTTTTTAAGGAAGGATTGGGTGGAAAAGGCTGAGACTGCTTTGTGCGATGGAGGGTGTGTGATGTGGGACATGCATGCAACAGACCTCCCAGACTGAGCAAACACCACAGCAGGAAGCTCCTCTGTCGTGGTGTCCTCTACAGAGCAGGGCTGGGATCTGAGGCAGCCTTTGCTTTTCAGAGGACGTGTATGCAGGCTGACAAAATGGGTTTGGAATGAACATTACGTGACAGACTGCTTCTTCCCAAACCTCTGCCATTGGCTTTCTCCATTGGCACTGCAGTTGACTCATCTGAACTCTCTGTCTATGGACTGAGTTGAGCCAGACCCATTCAGCTCCTCGCTGTTAGTTTTGTACACGGGGCCTGCTCCACTGAAGCTGTTGCTGTGCAGACACTTTGCTGGAGGAGACTCCAGCTCTGTGGTGTGTGCTTTTCTTGGGTAACATCAGATTTCTTTAGGAGCTGCAGGGTGAGTTTGAGGGAGGTAATAGTTGTGATTCAGGATTCCCTTGTGCATTGTTAGGCATTGTGAGAACCTGAGCTTGAGAGTTAGTTTGGGAAGATAAGAATCTTCCAGATTTGGAGTGCATGATGCTCTGGTTTGTAGAAGTAGCATATACAGCAAAAACACTGGGTTTGGGAAAGACTGTGGTAATTGCAAGTATAAATTTGCTTTATTTAGAGCAATGTGTTGTTAGGGGTGTCTGTATGTCTTTAACAATCCTACAGGCTTCTTACACAGTCTAATTCCTAATTGTGCTAGTTATGCTGCTGTTTGCAATAACAGAACAAAAAAGGCAGGGATCGTTCAAGCCAGGTATCTAGGCAAAAGGAATCATAGAAACATAGAATCCCAGACTGGTTTGGGTTGGAAAGGACCTTAAAGCTCATCCAGTTCCAGCCCTCTGCCATGGACAGGGACACTGCCAGGGATGGGGCAGCCACAGCTTCTCTGGGCACCCTGTGCCAGTGCCTCAGCACCCTCACAGGGAAGAGCTTCTGCCTTAGATCTAACCTGAACTGCTCCTGTTTCAGTTTGAACCCATCACCTCTTGTCCTGTCGCTACAGTCCCTGATGCAGAGTCCCTCTCCAGCATCCCTGGAGCCCCCTTCAGACACTGGAAGCTGCTCTGAGGTCTCCATCAGCTTCTCTTCTCCAGCCTCAACAGCCCCAATGTTCTCAGCCTGTCTCCATATGGGAGGTGCTCCAGTCCCTGCTTATCCTCATGGCCTCCTCTGGACTTGCTCCAACAGCTCCGTGTCCTTATGCTGGGGACACCAGCGCTGCACAGAGTGCTGCAAGTAGGGTCTCATCAGAGCAGAGCAGACCAGAGGGGCAGGATCCCCTTCCTCAACTGCTGCTCACGCTCCTGTTGATGCAGCCCAGCACACGGGTGGTTTCTGGGCTCAAGCGCACACTGAAGCAGCTGCTGTTCAGTTTCTCATCGACCAGTACCTCCAGGTCCTTCTCCACAGGGCTGCTCTGAATCTCTTCTTTGCCCAACCTGTAGCTGTGCTTGGGATTGCCCTAACCCAGGTGTAGGCCCTTGCACTTGGCTTTGTTGAACTTCATGACGTTGGCATTGGCCACCTCTCCAGCATGTCCAGGTTCCTCTGGATCCCATCTCTTCCCTCCAGTGTGTCAACTGCACCATACAGCTTGATGCCATCACAGACTTGCTGAGGGAACCTCAATTCCACTAATCATATATGTCTGATTAAAACAGTTCCAGATTTGGATTATTAAGTGAGGGCAACACATACTTGATTTTGGTACAGGCTTGCTAGATAGTTATTCCTCTCTTACTGTTCGTGGATTGCTTGGCACCTGGGTTTATTCCTCACCAGTTACCCCAGTTCATACCCATATGCACACTGCTTGCACAGGGTCAGTATCTTCACTGGAGCTCAGCAGGCTACAAAGGTGGGTCACATTGATAGTGGGTGTCCCTAGAGGGGAGGAGAGACTCTTAAGATCTGTACCTCTTAGGATCTGGTATACAAATGTAAGACAGTTAGGAGTTCAGGATTTTCCACTGAATTTTTGGACCTTCTTGTCTTACAGTCATACCCCTGTAGTGCATTGTTCAGCTGTCTAATTTCATTTGTTACTACTAGCTTTCGGCAGTAAGTGTCTACAGATTGATTTTCACTGTAGTATTAGTTTGTGTTACTCATGCTGGGTCACCTTGAGTGAGGGTGGCTGCATTGCCTCAAGCACTGAGGCTTGATTAGTAATTCATAAATAATGTAAGAGTAAGCTGTAGCTTGTATTCAGTGCTCAGCCTTTCAGCACCTTAAGTCAAGTCCCTTCATTGGCTTGAGAGATGTGCAGGATTCAGGCAGTGCCTCCGCTCTTGGCATTGCCCTCCTGTGTGCTTGAACTGAAACTGAGAACTGAATGCCTCCTTGCTCCCAGAGTCTGACTGTGACTACTAGGATCTTTCTGTTCTGTGGTCCATACAATGAGTGCAGTGTATGCTCTGTTTGAAAAGAGAGAGGCAGTTAAGGCAGGTTGTATCAGATTTCTGTGCTGGCAGGCAGAGTTTGGCTTAATGACTGTTATGTCAATATAAAACTATTGCACTACTGTGTGCGTAGTTGAAGGCTTCATCTTACAAGAAATATTGGTGTTAGATTTGGCTCAATGAGGCCCTGAATTTCCTGAATGCTGAATATTTATTCTCCGTATGTTATTTCTTTAATAGTCATCAAAACAAATTCTCCTCAGTCAAGGAAGTCTTGCCTTTGGATTCTTAGCCTTGGTATAAAGTATAAAAGGGGGTGGGGTGGGCTTAAAGAGTATTTAGCCACAGATTTGGCATTTAAGATTCACAATGCCCAACTTTTCCTTTCTGATTCATAGATTGGAATGGTGATTTTATTTTTTTTCTTCTCCCCCACAAAAGAAAGAAAGAAAAATCTCTGCGAGGTCATCAGAACCATGTGTTTGAACTGCTGCATTTTCTGTCAACCTACAGGAAAACCTCACCTGAGTCCCAAGCAGTCTATAGCATTATCTGAAATTAGATGCTAGTTAATATATAATTGTGTTCCCTTTGTTAGACTTGGCACTGGTGCAGTTTCCTGGTTGAGTGTTAGGCCAGTGATACAACCTCTACTATCCTTGGCAAAAGCCTAGGGGTTTGGAGCAAAGTTGAGAAGAAATCATTGCTTGATCGTTAGCAGTTACAACTTAATGTGTAACTGCTCTGTGCACAAGTGCCCTTGCCAGTGCTAAAAGGTTCCTGCATGATTTTAAAAAGGCCGAATGTGGTGGTTTAACCCCAGTCAGCAACTAAGCCCCACGCAGCTGCTTGCTCACTCCTCCCCAGTGGGATGGGGGAGAAAATCGGAAGGGTAAAAGTGAGGAAACAACTCATGGGTTGAGACAAACGCAGTTGAATAGGGAAAGCCAAAGCCACACACACAGGCAGAGCAGAACAAGGGATTCATTCACCACTTCCCATGGTCAAGCTTCAGCCATCTCCAGGACAGCAGGGCTCCATCACACATAACCATTACTTGGGAAGACAAATGCTGTAACTCTTCCTCCTTTCCCCAGCTTTATGTGCCAAGCCTGACTGCATATGGTCTAGAGTATCCCTTTAGTCTGTTGAGGTCAGCTGTGTTCCCTTCCAGCTCCTTGTGTACCCTCAGTCTACTCGCAGGTGGGGTGAGAGGCAGAAACAGCTTTGACCCTTTGTAAGCTCTGCTCGGTGGAAGCTAAAACATCCCTGTGTTACCAGTACCATGCTCAGCACACATCCAAACCAGAGCCCCATACCAGCTACCATGAAGAAAATTGCCCTAGCTAAAACGAGCACACCAAGATAGGGTACTAGATAGCGCTACCTAGATAGGTACTAGATGACGTTGCAGGAGTAAGGTCCACCAGCATTCTGCTGTGTTGTGCTTGCTGTCCTCGTTGTGAAGATACTACTTGAATGTAGGAATGTTTTCAATTATTTTCACCAGTTAAGATTTTTTTCTAATGTCAATGAAGAAATTAGAAATAGTGCCTGAAGGAAACCTTCATGTGAAAACGTCTCTGTTACTCAGTTTCTGCTAGAAGAGGCAGGAAAAACTTTGATAGAGGATTTGCTTTGAATAACGCTTCTGAAGAAGACAAGCTCTAAGAAGAACATAGCTTATTTTTGTCATAGCGTGCTCAATACACATTATAATGTATCCAACGAGAAGAATGAGTAATAAACCAAAAAACAAAAGAAAAAGGAAGGTAAGTTCTGAAATGACGGAGTGAGTTGCAGCGGTTTAGGTAAAGAGTGCCATGTATTTGGGGAGGAACAGCTGGCAAGTATAGACACATGGGAGGGAATGAAGGAGAAACCTCTATCATATGAGGATTAATAGCGATCTTTTAAAGTGAGAAATAGGAGGTTTAAGATTATTAGAAATATTTATAACATGGTTTATGAAAAAAATAAATACACAGATATGAAAGAACATGCATTGGCAAGGGTGGGGAGAGAAAGAAATGTGTTGTTGCATGATAGCAGTCCAAATTTAGCACTTCAAATACATATATTTAAGATCTTGTTCATAACCCAGTCCAGCAGCATTTACTAGGTTTGGAAAAGTCTGTGCACCATCACTACTATCTGGGGTATTTATCACAGAATCCTAGAATACTTTGGTTTGGAAGGGACCTTTAAAGATCAGCTACTTCCAACCTTCCTGCCATGGTCCCACTAACCTCATCCTAAAAACTCTCTTTCTTATATCCAATTGAAATCTCCCCTCTTTCAGTTTAAAATCGTTGCCCCTTGTCCTGACACTGCAGGCCTTAGTAAAAAAAGTCTCTGCCTGTCTGTCCTAAAAACTCCTGTTATATATTGCAAGGCTGCAGTAAGGTCTCACCAGAGCCTTTTCTTCTCCAGTCTAAACCCCAGCTCTTCAGAAGAGAGGTGTTCCATCCCTCTATTCATTTTTGTGGCCTTTCTCAGGTCCTGCTTCAACAGGGCCAAGTCTGTCTTCTGCTGGAGACTAAAAGCTGAATGTGGTACTCCAGGTGGGATCTCATGGGAGCAGAAGGACAGAGTCACCTCCCTCAAGCTGCTGGCCATGCTACTTTTGATGGAGCCCAGGATAAGGTTGGCTTTCTGGGCTTCAAGCATACATTGCCCGCTCATGTCCAATTCTTCGTCCATCAGCACCACTACATCCTTCTCCACAGGGCTGCTCTTGAGCCATTACCAAGCCTGTACTGATACTGGGAATTGCCCCAGCCTGTATCCAGGGCCTTGCACTTGGGCTTATTGAACTTCATGAACTCCATCCATTTATTTCTATACCTAATGTGTTTGTTGTATCTGGTACTAATTTTGGTGGGAAGAAGGCTATATTGAGTCCAAGTGAAAGATTTATGGCATAGAACTTTCCTCTGAGGGATGTAGTTGTTATAGATAGTAGCATATTATTTGTTTATTAGCCAACACAGGGAAGAGGGCAATGCAAGTATGAATGTGTAGAAGGAAGTAATAAAAATAGGTTCTTCAGGTTCTGTGAGCTCTTACTCCAGCTAATAGCTGTCTTTTTCCTCTTTGTTGCCAGCTTATTATATTTGTACAGGTGTAGCATCAGCACCAGGTTCACATTCCATTTGAGAAATAGGAGAACACAGTCCTATTTCTTCAGTCAACTGCTGTGATTTCAAAGTAAATGGCCAGGAAGTGTCCCCGTATCCATTCCACTGGAATGGAGTAGTGTACTTTACTTCCCACCCTTCTGTGAGGCAAATTCTGTCACTGCTTATTTTCTAGCTGGTCTTAAAGTTTTGCTAGAGGCTGCAGACTGTAAGTTACCCTTCTGCAGTTTTAAGAGGTTGGTTGTCTGCTTCTGTTTGACTTTGTATTATAACTAATCTGCAAGTGCCTTTAGTTTGATTAAGCAGTCTTAAACTCGATCCTAAAATGGAATAAGCACTAGCAATAACTTCTGTAACTTGGCTTTTTACTGTGAAAGACCATCAGCAATGAAAACCTTTCACAGCTAGGCTAGAGGAAATGTAACTCATGTAACGCCATCACTGTGCAGATTGCAAGCATAGTAGTAGGTAGGTTTGTTGGTTTTTTGTTTTTTTTTAATTTAAGAAAAAATGAAATCAAATGAATATAATAAAAAGTGAGCCAGCTTCTAAGAAAAGCTTTCTTAGTAATTCAGACTGAAATCATGAAATATAATGCAGAATATTGGATAGTTTGGGACACTGAAGGAACTCTCAATGTAATTGATGCAGGAGAAATGCACAAATAAATGAAATTCAGATCATTTGTGGATGAGCTTTCATCTTTCTTTATAAAACAATATGTGAAAATGTAATTTCAATGAGCCTAAAACATGCTATTCAACTAGATACTTGATGTTTGATAAAGTTGAGTCTTAACAGTTCTATGCTTAGTTTACCTGAACATATTTTTATCAGGATTTGTATAGGGATGCTTGGATCTGTGAAGTGGTCCCTGCTCTCTTGTTCTTGAAGATGGTTTTAAGCCGTGCTTGGTGGAATGATGTCCTTGATGTGCAGCATAACTCCATCTGTGGAAAATGTCTCCAGACAGTCTCTAGGCTCTCAGCTTAACTAAAAAGTATTTCAAATAAATAAGTCATGTCTCTTTCTAGAAGTCTCCTTTTTGGTTTTAGTGTTTTAGATACCTTAAGCTGAAGTAATTCTCTCAGGTTTTGAGACTTCCTACAAATTCAAGAATAGGATAAATTCATAAACTGCACAAAATTTTGCACAAAATTCTCTTACTGTGGCTATCTGGCAGCTGAGAAGCTCAGAGGTTTACACCATCGCATCTGTAAAAGACGAAAGTTAAGAAAAGCCCTGCGTTTTATCCGCATGTGTGTACCAAAGGTGAATGTTACATGGCTGCAAATACTTGGCTTGAATGCTGACTTCCTATATAGACCTGCCTTTCAGCTCTGCCCCTGCCTTCCGTGTTGCTGGCTGTAGAGTGTGTCTACATGGTAATACTGAATAAACTAGGAAGGAGCGGTTTACTTATTTTCACTTAGACTAGTAGAAAAAAGAACAATAAACCAAGTCACTGAGTTAACTGATGTGACAGGCTATGTGGCAGCCTGGGAGTTGCAGGTACTTAGCACCTCTCACTGCAGGATACAGTTCAAAAGTCATTGGGTAAATGCGACCACTCAACTTTGTGTCTTTGAATTGGTAAACCTAAATCTGATTTTTGGAACACAGTAGTCTGTCCAAAGCCCAGGAAGAAATCTAAGCCTGGTGGTAACTCTGTATAGGAAACACATTGAGAACCAGGTTCATTATTGGTTTAAGACAAAGTGTGAGCTGTTACTGAAGACACTTAGTATATGATGCACAGTTTGTTGCAGTGAGAGTAGAAGAAACTTGTGGCTAGAAGAAAGCAATTACACCTCTGGTAGTAACCTCTAAATCTGAACCTGCTGTGAAAAGCATTTAAAGATGGTCCAACCCTTTGAAGGTTGGTGCTTAGATCCTTTTCTGGATCCGGGAGTCCCCTGTTTGCAGAGTTTTATGAGCTCATACGCAGCTCTCTTTAAAGAAAGGAAGAGGGACCAGGAGAGCTGATAAGATAGTATGTGTGCTCAGTAAAGAAGGGTTATTTTATTGGCATACGTAAGTTTCAGTGAACCAACTATTTGTAAATACAGCAAGAAACTTCACGCACTTGTCCTTTACAAGCCTGCCTTGCTGGCCACTGACAGGACGGCTCTTAACAGATACCCTTAGTTCAGCTAGCACACTGGGCACTTAAGTCTATTTTGTATGAGTTTTGGAAACTCTGAAACTGCTTTAGTGAATTATAGCAAAGAAATGCTTCCTGCTACTGGCACCTTTTTGAGACACATTGGGAAAGCTCCCTTTTGTATCACGATTACTACTGAAGACAAGACTGTAGCTCAAGGAACTAGTGTGGTATGTATTCCTTATGGCTTTGCTGATGGGCTTACTAAACTGTTGACCTAGTTGGTATGTTTTCATGCTGAATGCTTTGATACTAAAATTCCATTTTAAGCTGCTTAGTAAATAGATGGTTCTATTTCAGCCAGAAATTCACATGAACATTATTTTCTGAGATTGTGACCAGTTTTGAAGGTTATAAAATTGATCTCTCAGAATTGGGAACATTTGTAAAATACTTTGTCACTTCACAGGCTCACAGAAGGCAGAAATTTCAGTCCCAGGTCAAGAGGGATGTGTGTTCCCATTACCTGTAGTTTGTTCAGGTCTCAGTACCAAAAAAAGTGAGGTAGATGGAGAAGGTGGAAAAAATGTTGTGCAAGTTGTCTCATGTAAGTGTGCATTCTGCAGTGTTAGTTTTCCCCAGTAGCATGGACAGACCTTCTGATGAACTTCAATTCTGTATTTTCTCCCAGTGGATTTTGAGTTTTTTCCCTTTTTCTCCCTCTGTCCTCTCTGCTGCGGGAGAGTCTGATCTGTATTCCTCTGGAGAGTCTGATCCTTTTATGTCCCCTCTTCATCCCTTCGTGGCAACTGTTCTTCTCATTCTCCTTGTTTTCAGGTATAGCAGACCTGTTCTTCAAAGCTGTTCCTCTTTGACTAACTGATCTTCTGCGTTTTGTTGATGGGGATGCATAATTCTACAGTTAGCATCCTCGTTTAAAGGGTTATTCCACCAGAACCTGTGGGAAAAGTTAGCAAATCTTGAATGTTGCCTGCAGCTTTCTTCTCCTTCATTTCTGTCTGATTTATATTGTCCAGTGCAGTTGTGTCATTAGTATTTGTTTCTTCAGTGAGCTAAATGACAACATAGTTTATACAAAAGTTATCTTCTATTAATCACAGAAACATAGAATGGTTTGGGTTGGAAAGGACCTTAAGATCATCCAGTTCCAACCCTCTGTCATGGGCAGGGACACCTCACGCTAGAGATTCCTTATTAAGATTCCTTAAAGGAATCCTTTTGTATTTCTTCTCAGTTTCTGCATCCTGGCACCTTTTTCTTGGCTGAGATGATTTTAGAAATATTTTTACAGCCATATAATTCTCAACATAAACAATTTTAGTGTGCAGGGTACAAGTATGTACTTCCTATCTCTGTGGCTATTGTCAATTTGCATTTGTTTGCAGTGTCTCTTAAGCATCCTATCTGTGCCGTATAGGTATTAATTTGAGTTTGTCTGTTTGACTGGAGAAAATCTACTAATGCTTAGAGACAAGATAAAGTCAAGTCAGAAATACTTGAATAGCACAGCTTTCCAGATCTCCTAGCAATGAAAACTGTTACGAAATACATCTTGTGCTAGAGAAATGCAGTTGAGCAAGAAACTGCTCCAGTTTCAGCTGCAGATATTTAGAGGTACCAGCACATCCTTCAGGAGTGGTACAAACCTAGATAATGAGTCAAAACTTGTGTGCCTGTAGGTGTAAAACATGCACAGGGGCAGCTCTGGCATATGCATTCATTAGGTATTGCTTATGCATCCCTAGCCTTCCAAAAGTCAGAATGGTTATTTATTGTCTTGATTCTTACTGCTTTTCTTTTACTTGAAAACATCTCTGTTGACTTCTAATTACTTATTTGATTTTACTTTTTCATTATAAAGCAGGGCTCCATTTTTGAATATATGGGCAGTGAAGGCAGTAGTAGTTAATCTTTTATAGAAAGCATTCATTTCTGTGGTATGGAAACTCTTCTTAGTATGAAGAATAGCAGAAAATGATGCAATGTTCTGCATGTAATATCCTTGTAATGTATTGTGCTCGCAAAATGCAAATTGCACTGAATCTGTTAGTCTTCTGCACTCAGTTAATACTTCAATTGGTGACAAAGGGCAAAGGAAACCATGTCGGCTTGGTGAGAGTTCATGATAGAGGTGAGGATGATACAGCTTTACTAATGTAAGGTTTGTGGTGGTTGGCGCAGTGTGAGAAAGTGGGTGCAATCACCAGTCATCTGTATTGAACCAATTGAGCAGGATAACAAGCTGGACGGGTTTGGTGCTGCCTCCTTGCAGCTCCTCCTTCCCACATGTTCCTTTCTAACCCTGCTTTCCCACAACTCTCCTTTTCCTTCAGCACCAGGCATACCTCATTTCCATGTAAAGCAGTGCAGCCCTCACCCTGTGCTGTGCTGGCACTGTGTCATTTGGCAAGGCAGAGAGTGCAACCTGGTAGAAGGGTGAGAAGATCTAATTCTGAGAATAGCTCAGTGCAGCAGGGGTGCTGGGCATTCTGCAGTGCCACAGTTCCTTCACTTTGGGAATACCTTCTGAGGCTTCACATACATAGAAAAATCCAGCATTGATTTACCACGAGAGGATTCTTTAGTGAAGAAAGCTAATTACGAGTTAGTCCTTATTTTACTTTGTTGTTACTACAGCTAAACATACTGCTTTTCTCTATTAGTTCTCACTCTAATATTCTGATATGCTTCCCCTTTTGTAATCTTGTATTTGAAAAAACATTTCTAAACTGTTCATCTCCTTTTTCTTTTAAAATACCAGATTAGGTTTGTTGTTTTCATTTGGCTGAGCTCCCTCGATAACTTCTTTTAACATGCCAATTCCCATGGGAAGCCCCTATCTGCAGTATTGCCTTTTAAGCCTGGTTTGGGTTTTTTTTTCTATTTCAGGAAGAAAAAAGTCAAGAAATGTCTACCAATTTAAAATACCTTTCCTTGAGCATCCTGGTTTTTCAGACCACAAGTTTAGTCTTGACCATGCGTTATTCTCGGACGCTGAAGGAAGAAGGACCTCGTTACTTATCCTCCACTGCAGTAGTTATTGCTGAGCTTCTGAAGATTTTGGCCTGTGTTCTCTTGGTCTACAAAGACAGCAGTATGTGTCAAATTTTGCACCAAGTAATTTTCCTAATCAATATGCTGTATTGTAGTGGCAACTGCAGAGCAGCCATGTGAGTACAGGCATGAAAACAGCATTTCCCTTCTCGTGTTAGAAATAGCCTTGGAGTGACACTAATCATACCTCATTCTTCAACACAGGAAAAAAGATACTGTCTGTTTGCTTGCAAGAGTTAACTTTAAAGAATGTGGATACTGAGGGAGTTGAAAAATGAATTTTCTATTAACAGGTTAAAGCTAGTAGTAGAAAAGAAGCCGAGCAGCTGTGTTTGCTCAGTCATTTGAAGACGTTCATATGTAAAAGTAGGAAAAAATGAAAAGCTTTAAGGTGTGCCAAGCATGAATGATAGGGAAAAAACCCAAAACAAACAGCAGATGCAGAAGGGAGAAAACAAGTTCATTATTACAGGAAGAAGTGCAGGTTTAAGCTTGAAAAATGTATATTCAGATTTACTCCAGTTCTTACTTTGTACATTCTAGAATGAATTTATCTGGTTCCTTGACATATATATTTGATCTTCAACAGCTTAAAAATATCATTGTATATTGATAAATATTGATGATTTGCTTCTAAATTTGCACTTTTTAGATGACATTCATCCTGAAAGATTGACATGGGTTCGATAAGTTGTACTTAAATTCTTCTGAATAATTGTTCTAGTTCTGATATATCTGGAAGACACCTTGCAGCCCTTTTTCCTTGCATATATCCGAGTCTCATGAAAGTTAAAAAGACACAGTATTTTGAGATCTTGATAGCAGCGATAGCTTTAAAAAGGAGGCAACAATCTTTAAGTACATAACTTTTTTATCTATTAATATATATATGATGTTCATATATATTATTCATTTATATATATTCATATACATTTATATCCTCCCCCCTGCATCCTTATAGTGAATGTCTATTTCTTTTATTGTTTCTTTGGGTAGAGTGCAATTTACGGACTCTGAACAGAGTGCTACATGATGAAATCCTTAATAAACCCATGGAAACTCTTAAACTTGCTATTCCTTCAGGGATTTATACTCTTCAGAATAACTTGCTGTATGTAGCATTGTCGAACCTCGACGCAGCCACATACCAGGTACTGTACCTTTGGATTTCTCTGTACATTTCAAACCCATCCATGAATTATGCAGTAGTAACTGTTTCTGGGTTCTTCTAGGTTACGTATCAGCTGAAAATTCTTACCACAGCATTGTTTTCTGTGTCCATGCTGAGCAAGAAGTTAGGTGTATACCAGTGGCTTTCGTTAGTAATACTGATGACAGGAGTGGCATTTGTTCAGGTAAGTATTAACAAGTAGTTTGAGTTTGTTTAATGTGTTTATTCAAGGAACATGGACTTCTGTGCTTACTTTCTGATTCCACCAGCTTCACGTGAGCACCAGAGTGTGGTCATGAGCTATGAATCATCACTGGCAAGGGCTAGAGGACACCAGAACTGGTTCGAAGACAGAAGATAACACTTCTTTTGTGTCCCAGTGCTCCCCTGTAGAATGTGACAGGAGGTCTGGAACAATCTGCAAGTAACAGTGACAGCAGTATCTGCTAGCATGCTTCTTGAGACATGAGAGACTCACTGATCTGCTGCTGCTCACAGTGTGATATGTTTTCAGCATGATAAATTTACTTGAACTTTTTCAAGAGGCAGACTTGGCCTCTGTTCTAAATAGTGCAGGTACAAGGGGTTATAGTTTTTAGAGGGCAGGATCATGGAATAAGATACTAAGTTCTAAGAATTTTTAGCAGATTTTATCATATCTTTTTTTTTTTTGTTAAGGATTTAAAAAAGAATCAGGATTACATTTTATAGAATTTTCAAATTTAATAATTAAAAATGAGAATAAAACATTCTGATAGCATCTGAAAGCAGAACATCTGAAGCAGACTTCAGTATGATTTTTGTCTATGGCATTGCATTTTATTCTGTTAGCAGTAGATATATTGCAGGATTTAGCTTCACAAATTTCATGTTTAGTCATCTGTATAATCACTGAAGAGAGGCACATGCAAAAGTCAACTGATCCAACCTTAAAGGCAGCTTGTGTTTGTGGTTTTCTACCTGTGCTTGTATTTATAAGGTAACTGTTGGGTTGCAAAAGTTGGTGAGTATGAATGACCATCACAAATTATGCTGGGATTGAGAAACAGTTCTGCCTTATAAAACGTAAGTCCTGGCCCTGTTTAAATTGAAGGGTGTTCTCCCAGTTCAGGCACAGGTTTACTCCTTACAAATATGCAGACAGAAAAATGATGTCTTTGCAGGCTTTTCTAGGTATCTATGGTGAAAATACAAAACTTTGCAAGCATGGGATTGTATTTAGTTGCTAGAAAATAAATTTGTATTTTATAGGTGCTCCTGACTTGATTTTACCAGTGAACGTTGTGTAACTGTTTTTACATCTAGTGGCCTTCAGACTCCCAAGCACCAGCTGCTAAGGAGCATTCGGCAGGATCTCAGTTTGTGGGCCTGATGGCAGTTCTGATAGCTTGCTTTTCCAGTGGATTTGCTGGCGTTTACTTTGAGAAAATCTTAAAGGAAACCAAGCAGTCTGTGTGGATCAGAAACATTCAGCTTGGTAAGTTTCATTCAGGTCATCTCCTGGAGATACTGCATGCTGTAATATAGAGTACTGAGTCTGGTAGAATATACCATAGGAGCAAGAGATGGTGTAGTTTTTTGTAGTTATGGTTGGTCAGACACTGGTATAGTCAAAAATGTCTGAATATCAGCAGTATTTTTTTCCTTTCTTTTCCTGTTGCTGCGTTTTAATTATAAATGGTTTCAGCTAAAAACACAGAACTGCATTTTGATTGTATTTTAATAGTTTTACATGCCTGTAATGATTTGCAAATTGAGGATAGAGAAAGGGCTCAAAACCTCTACTTACTCTCTGCTAGTATTTATTGTAGAAGGAGGGGAGGGAATACATCAGGAAAGGTTATGTCAGGGAATTCTGGAGGCAGAGAAGGGTGAGTAGCTGGGGCTTGGTCCAGGATTTAAGGGAAGATTTGGTGCTCTGGATGGAGCTACAGTGTAAAATCCATTGCCAGGGAAACTCTCAGTTTCCATGCTAGAAGTGCATTGGTGGGCGACAATGAGGATATCTGAAACAATTTCCAATTAAACAGTCATAATTGCCCAAAAGAAAAAATAATCAAGGATTTCCTCAAACATTCTTCAGATTTTCTGTAATGCACAGAAGTGTGTATGGAAACAAGTGAGTTCATTAGTTTGATGACCAGGTAGCCTGTTCCAGTAGTCGCTTTGTGAAAAACATGAGATCAGTAGAGGCTGCATCTAAACATGAACTGTTGAAGGTAATGAGTAACTGGGACTGTGATATATGAAGACAGAAATGCCTGTGCTAACAATGAGAATCAAGTCACCTGCTATGGAGACCTCATAGCAGCCTTCCAGTGTCTGAAGGGGACCTATAAGGATGCTGGGGATGGACTCTTCATTAGGGACTGTAGTGATAGGACAAGGGGTAACGGGTTAAACTTAAACAGGGGAAGTTTAGATTGGATATAAGGAAGAAGATCTTTACTGTAAGGGTGCTGAGGCACTGGAATGGGTTGCCCAAGGAAGTTGTGAATGCTCCATCCCTGGTGGTATTCAAGGCCAAGTTGGACAGAGCCTTGGGTGACATGGTTTAGTGTGAGGTGTCCCTGCCCATGGCAGGAGAGTTGGAACCGGGTGATCTTAAGGTCCTTTCCAACCCTAACTATTCTATGATTCTATGATGCTATTTTTAATTCTTTTTTGTCAGTGAGCTTAATTTGCCTCCATACAAAACTCAGTAGAGTATGTTCATTATGAAGATTGTTTTTAGTTCAGGAAAGAAATCAATGTTGTCATCTTCTGTAGCTTTTAGAAAATCTTTAAAACATGAAAACACTGTTTCACTATACATCAGTGCATCCTTTCTGCAAGTGCACAGTACTGAGTTGCCTACTTAAGGTGTCATATCATTCAGGAGCAAGTCAGTTGTAAGCAAGAGCTTTGAAATAGAGCATTTCTTAAAACATAAACAACAAAGCCCATATGTCCAACCTGGTTTTCATTTTCATATCCATAGAGAATTATTAGAACTGTAGAAAAAAATGTAAAATGTATTAGAATAATTCTTGGAAAATGTAGGTTTAATGCATCCCAGGCTCAGGTCAGGGATGTATGAACAGTTGATTATTTATTTTAGCAGATCTATTGGAAAATAGAAATAATTGGTTTAATCCAAATGAAATCTAAGTTTTTCATTGAGCCTACAAAAAGAATTCTTGGCAAACAAAAGGTTTTATGTTGTTCAGTGTCTGTCAGAAAGAAAAGTGATGAGAATAGAGGCCAGCTTTTCATAGAAAAGGAATGGAAAAACTGCTCCCCCTTTCCTGCTCAGGACTAGAGCCTGAATCAGTCACAGAGAAGGTGTTTTGTGTTACTTCCATGCCTGAGGGGGTTAGGAACATTTTCTCAGATGATTAGAAGAACACTGTACTCACCATATGATACACATTTTGATCTCACCTCAGTTTCTTCCTTTGACATTAAGTCTCTACTGTTAAACATTCACTGTGTTTGAGACTGTTGAGACCTCATCAGGAGAATCCCGCTTCCATGATCCTTGTCTGAATTGTGAAACTCCCAATTCCTGCTCTTGCTATGTCAAAGCCTATCTCCTGCAGTGAATGTGTTCCCTGTTTTTCTCATGGGTTATTGTGTGACCTCAGCCTTCAGGCAGGACTGGTTTCAGGAAAACTGAACTTACTTAAGTGAATTTTGCTATATGCCATAAAAATTACCCCATTCCAGTAGAAAGCAGTGGAAGATAAAAGCAGAATCCTACTGGAAACAGTCAGAACTTGTTATAAGTGTGAAAAACAGCTTTTAAATGAGAATATCTATTTGAGCACTGACTGCATTTGAATGTCATGGTGTCACAAGGGGCAGTCCTGTTTTAAAATGGGAAATAGGTGAGCAGTCCTTGAGGACAAGGAACCCATTTGCATGTTTTTCACCTGAAGCTTTTAAATCAATCTTGTATTTTCAGGATTTTTTGGTAGCATATTTGGACTGATGGGTGTATACATTTATGATGGAGAGCAACTGTCAAAGAACGGATTTTTTCAAGGATACAATAAACTTACTTGGGTAGTTGTTGTTCTACAGGTGAGATAACTTGTATCACATGTTTCTGTGGAGGCACTTGGGACTCACTGTTCTATAAATGACTGGGGAAACTAATGAGTGTCATTGAAGCTACTGTGAATTCTATAGCCAAAAGTCTGCTCTATTGCTATTAGAATAAACCTCTAAATAAAACCTCTGAAAATACGCAGCGAGTATATGTAATACAAAGTATTGTGCAACATAAAAGCATGTGAACTTTATTTCTTTTGTGATGTTTAATATAATATAAAAAAAGCCCTTCCTCCTATGGGTAAAAATGCAGGGTGCAAGCACTTCCACTGATTTAATGATGGTAATATGATCAACAGTTTCTTTAATGGGGAAGGAACTTCTCCAATATTTAACAACCCATATCCATAACATAAATGTAATGCTCCTAAACATAGACAAAACCCTTTCCTAAAGTAAGTGCATGTTGTTAAAACGGATGCTCTGAGTTGAATTTGCAGGTTGCAAATCCAAGCATTACTATTTTTTGCAGGCACTTGGAGGGCTGGTGATTGCTGCTGTTATAAAATATGCAGACAACATTTTAAAGGGATTTGCAACTTCTCTCTCTATTATACTGTCAACACTGATCTCCTATTTCTGGCTGCAAGATTTTGTCCCTACAAGGTAAGCAGTCTTTTCCATGTATATACAAGTCGCACATGAAAGTTGAGTTTCATAACATACCGTAGGTAATACTTAGTTGACAGGGTTAAATTTCCTGTAAGACAGAGCCCCCCACAGGTCAGGAATAACTGGTGCTCAAATCTTGGCTCTTGACAAGCCACTCTGGCAAGCTCTGGTTTAATTCATTGTCCCTTTCTCTCCCTTCTCCTCCCTACCTGACCTTCCTCAGTGTGTTCAGCTCCTGCTTTGCTCTCCACATACATGTCTCTTTGCATACACACATGGAAGTTACACTACAGCAAGTACCATAAAGAATACCGTATTTATTAGTAAAGGAATCCAATATTTATTAGTGAAAACAACTTGACCAAACAAGAAAGGAAAATGGTTGCTATAGGCTTCTAGGCCCAATACACTGTCCAGAAGTTGCGTGAATCAGATTTTAGTAGCTCTCTGCACTGCAGGGTTTGTACATGGTTAGGTTCCACAATAGTGTTTGTCTTGGCAGTGCATGTTAATATGTGGAGTGCAGATGTAATATTCCAGCCTTCTTGCTCTATTCCAACTAATATTAATAGGAGTTTGCTTGTAATTGACCTACACTCCTCACGTTACACATACTCATAGTATAAAAATACTTTGAATAATATTCACAACTTTATCTGATACAAAAACCCCATCTTTTTATCTAAAAGCACTTGCAGTATAAGCAGGACTTTACATAAACGTTCAAAAAGGGAAGCAGAACGACTGTTTAGGCTTAAAAAGTAGAAGACATTGAATTTCAGTTATAAGCAGCCTGTATTTGTCCTATTAAAACAAACGTAGAAAGTTGTTTAGGTATTTCTGTGTGCTCAAATGGAAAATAATAAGTAACTTGCCAGCTTCTGCAAACATGGTGAAAATGGAAACAGTGGTAAATAATTAAAGGAGGTGAAGCCAACTAGCAGTATGTAGAACTTGAAGCCATCTCATTTAATAAAACTTGATTAAGCCTAGTTAATCAAACTTTATCTTTAGAACCTGGCTTACGCCAACTGAATTTATTTGAACTGAAACTGTGTAATTGTTTCTGTGCTTCAACAAACATCTTTGATTAGGACAACAGATGTAAAGTGCTAAAGTGCTTGAATGTGTTGCAATGGATTGTGTCCAGAAACAGGCTGACTGTATTCTCTGAAGGATTATCAGGTCATGTGCCATAGTTTTTATAATGTTTGATTCAGAAGCTCAAATTGTCAACACTGTCATGTCTTTATGACAAGGCTCTTTTCTAGCGTGTACTGATCATCTGTTGGCTTTGGGTATTTTGTTTCAGACTAGTAACTATCAAAACAACCTAAAAGGCCCATGTGTCACAATACAAAGGATGCCTTTATTATCTTCTCCTTACATAAATCTTGATGTATCTGCCAAAAATTAGACTATACTGACTTGCAAACTGCTTCTTGGGCCGCAGTAATTTGTTTTGACGTAAGCTTTGGACTTCAAAGCAAACATGACTCCAACAACATGCTATGTGTAAGATGTTAGAAGCTGCTGGGTAACTGCAGCAATTGCACTTTAGCTTCTGCTTGCATTTTGCACAGAGCTTTAGGCAAAAGAAAGGGGAAAAAAAATAAGGTTGTTCTGAATACTTTTGACAGTTGTTCCATGAAACTGTAATTGTAATGTTCAGAATGTCACTATAGTGATACGTTATTTTGTGGATGTAAATGTCTTATTTCAACTTCTTCCTGCATCCTTCTATAATAAATATATGCAAATTGGTTTGTTCTTTATAAATTGGACCAGTACAATTTATCCTCTGTGTTCCCACAGTGTCTTTTCTTTGACTGTAACACATAAAAGAAGTTTCATCAACTGAAACAAGCTAACTTTTTTTTTTCTTTTTTTTTTTTTCCTCTCTATTCTTATTCTATTCAGTGTCTTTTTCTTTGGAGCAGTCCTTGTAATAGCAGCTACTTTCCTATATGGTTATGATCCTAAACCTGCAGGAAATCCCATTAAGGCATAGCACACTTCCTCATCAACCTGCTTCTCAAGATCATGCACTGGGGGCCTTGCTAACAATGGCATGTGGAAAGTGTCATTGTGCACTGCAAGGAAAGGATTCCTACCCTGAATCTATTGAAGAAATGCTTACGAGTAGTTCTGAACAGCTGGAGGGGTTGAAGGTGATGATACTGCCTGTAACTGATGAGAGGAAAAAGGCAGGGGATCTTCCAGTGCAACTTGCTAATAAAAACTTGAACAAAAGGTTTCCAAGAAACTGCAATTAGGAATGTTTACAGCTTTGACTGGGATTGCATCAAAAGAACTTACTGTACTGATTGCTGCAGAAATCCGTCCTATGCACTCTTTGAAAGAGCACATGACAACATTGTCAGATTGTATGGGTTTGCAATTTGACTGTATTTAATCTTAGCAAATACGGTTTTTAACTGTTTGTCTAGTTACATGAAATCAGATGAATACACATCATAGTTCTAAAGCGATGGTTCTAATTAGGTTTCCTATGAAGACTGTGAAGGTTACAGTATGATCGAAAGACACTTTCATAAGATCCAATATTTTTATATTTTAGAAGGCTGATTTAATAACAGAAATCTGTTATTAAATTATAATAATATAACTCTGTTGCTTATATAAAACTATTGTAAGAATGTTAGTGTTCAAAGGAAGAAATTCAGAGTGAAAGCTGGAAATCTTTGTGGATACTCCAGCCATCATCAGGATAGCCTGCAGTATTCCAACAGATGGGAAAACTCTGCTCTGTGAACACAGGCTGGAGGTTGCTCCACTAATCTGGTACTAAGAGTAGGGTTATGACAGAGTGCTTGCTCAGAGGTAATGCTCATTCTTTTTATTGATTATAAATCAACTTCTTGGTAGAACCTTCAAAGTAGATCTTATGCTTTAAACATCCTCTGGGGATTTTTTAACCACAATTTAAAACAAAGAGTCTATAATAAACATTCTGAATGCATAACTGTTGTCTTTAACAGCTCCATCTGCAGCTATTCTCGTCTAGCATCTGTATACTGTACTGTACTTTTACAGAGGTGTTTTTTAAACAAGTGGTGTTTACTCATGAACTCTCCAAGGCTTTTTCAGGACATTTCTATGTAGTGGCTTAATTTGAGATTATTTTTTTTCCATTGTTATTAGTTTATTCTGGGAGTCCTTGAGCCGACAGGAGACCAAAATGGGTTCTCTGGAGCTATTCAGTTTAGTCATAGAAATACTTTAATAGGAAACATAATGCAAAAGTGATTAACTGTGCAATAGGTAAATATAAAAGCATGCTTTTGTTCTGTTTTAAACCAAAACCAACCTTCTTAAGGAAACCTGGATGCAGTCAGAACTTAAATCAATTAGACTGTTACGAACACTTCACTTGTTGAAGTATTTGCATATAACCAGAAACACCAAAAAAAAATTAAAAATGAGGGACCTAATAAACAAAAAAAGGTGTCTTAAAAAGCACTTGTTTTCAGGAGGCCTGTTCACAATGGATAGTTACATAGAGTGACTTCTTACCCACACATAACACTTGTGAAGGTACACATTTATATAAACCCCATCAGTAGTCCCTTGCCTGTAGAATGGCAAGTGGCACAAGTGTATGATTTCCTCCATTTCCCCCTCATGCTCTTTCTGTCTTGTGCTAATGAACACGTGAAAAGAGAAATGTTTTAAAATGTTAACCAAAGTATCTCATCCTCTTTTCCACATTTTAGTGGTGGATTGACAAGGAGAGTCTGGAAGAGAGCTCTGAGATTTTTTTAATGAAATATTGTTATTGGGAAAGGAGAAATTCCACTTGCATCAGCCAAGCAAAAATAGTGTTTTCCTTCCATTGGCAGTGACATGGATTATCAGCTTTTTTGGTTGTTTATCATATCAGAGCAAGACATTAAAGAAATTTCAGAGTCCAAGGCTTGCTGAGCTTTGTGAACTGTGAATCTGTCTCAGCATGCCATACTTACAGTCAAATTGGTAGTCAAAACTATCTTGTATTACCCTAACATGGCATGCTATGTTAATCTTCAGCCTTTTACCTATAACCCTGAATAGGGCAGAATCTCTCAAAAACTAAATGTAGTCATTTGGCCACTAAAATGCCACACGAAGATAGAGCAGCGTAGAGCAGTGGCACACAGCATCGCTTGTGTAGAATGGGAAGTGCAGAATGACTGAAATGATGGAGAAGTTAGTAGTAATATCTGAACTGGAGCTTGGCTTACACGATGATACTTTTAATTGCAAGAATCACAGTAGTGGAAATGTTCAGATGATATAATTGGTTACTTAAGCAGCGGGTTGAGAACGCTTTAAAGCTGGGTGCACAGGAAGGGACCAAGTAGGCCACATAATCACCACAATCCTGGAATTGTGTTACATACAACCCAGGTTCAGTATTTTGGGTGAACCTTTCAATATTTGTTAAGGAACAGTTTAAAGGAAATAATAGGAATATGCGCTCTTTGCTTTTGAATAGGATGTTCTACAGCTTTGGAAAACACTGTATCTACTGTACTAAGGAACAGTAACTCCTGTCCATCCATCAGTGACTTCTGTGCTTTCAACTGACAGTTCCATTAATTTTTTCAGTAGATCTCTTCATACACTTGTTGCTATAAAGGAAATACAAATTTGCACTTTAGCTGTCATTCCTTAGCCCTTTCCAGGCTGACTCTTGTCTGAGCCCCTCCAGATTGAAAAGCATTATTCTAGACAAAGGGCGGTGTATGTTTCTTGAGAACAGAGAAGATTTGAGGAGGGATCAGTGATTTCTGTAACCTTTGCAATCTGTGAGCATATGCACATTTTCTCTTTGAGATACCTTTGTATCTTAAAACTTTCAGTCTATAGCTCGTAACTAACCAAAGAAGCATAGCTAGCACAGAGCGTCGGGAAGTAGGGGGTAGCGTGCTTTGAGTCTGCCCTACAAGCAATCTGTAGGAATCTAACGTTCCAAAACCAACCCTCTTTTCTGAACTGTTTTTCTGACTTTTAGTCAACAGATTCCTTAGTTTAGTTGTATATTTAGGGGGCTAAGCTATACTTAGCAGAATTTTATTTAAATATTTATAAAATTATAGCTAGGTATTTATTTGCAATAACCTCAATGATGTGATTTTCTTTAAGATTTGCATAATGGGAGTACTGGTATTTATTGAGTAATTGGATATTTGGTAGTTTTATTTGAGAATCTCTGGGATTCATAGTAAATGGTCACATAAACTTAAAACTGTCTTCAAAGTAAAACAAACCAGCAGTTCAGTGGTGAAAAACCTTGAGTGTAATATAAACTTTTCTTTAAACGTTGTATTTCTGTGCTATCCACAAGTGCCCAGGAACCTTTTTTCTCAAAGAATTCAGATAATTTTATAGTCCTGTTCAACTTCTTTGCTTTAGAGAAACTGCAAGAAAACTTCCCTTTTTGTTTGCTTAATAAGGAGTAGATTCATGTTCTAGATCTGGCTTCTACAAGATAACACCCTGAGGGTTTTACTGTAACTTTTTTAAACTATTGTTTTATTTTTCCTCAAAAATGGATTATTTTGGTAGCATATGCTTGCATTTCAGTTACTCATACCGTCTTCTCTGATTTTTGGAAGTATGTACCTGTTTTGTGTTCGTAACTTATTTTTATGGCTGTAATTTGAAAGACTGTAATGGATTATGTTGAATTGTTTTAAAATCGATAAATGAAACCTTGCATTTCTTCTGGGTTTTGTTGTTAATATATTTCCTTATTGGCTGCACATGTTCTGTTGTATTTAAGCTACCATCACTTTCCAAATTTGAAGTTGTTGCTCATTCTCCTCCTGTGACAGTTTTTCTTGCTGGATATTGTGAATGAGGAAGATTATTCATTGTTTTTTTCTCCGAAACCCATGCTTTGTAAGAATGAGATACTAAAAAACACAACAGGTTTCCGGATGTATCAGAAAGGTAATGTTTATCTATAACATGGTTTTACACCATGTATGTGGTAGTGTATGTAGTGCTTGGTTCTTGTAAGAAAGTACAAGAGTGTTTTCTTGCCTTTCTGTTCATCATTGTGTTGATAATGCTAAGTATTTTCCACAGGAAGTTATTTGAAGTTACTCTTTCCAGGTAAGTTCTTCATATGCTTTTAGATGTCTGGAATTAAGGTATCGTTACTGAAAAAAATGCAGGGGGAAATGCAACAAAATGAGTGGAGGTAATAAGGTGGTACCTTCTGCTCCAGTTACTGTGAATCCAGATTCTCTTCAGTTGAATGTATAACTCTTTTTAGAAGCAACAGAACTCTGTCCTGAGGTGTCATTCAGTGCCCATTCTTGAATGTCTGCTGCATGTTTGCATCCAAGAGTAGACGTGACATGTTTAATTCTTGCCTTCAACCTTCCATCACTGTTCTGACTGTAAATTAGCCACATCCATTCCATGGGCAATGTACAGCTCAGTTGGAATTGCTTCTATGCCAAGCATATGTCTACATTTGCTGTCATGAGTTAACACTTCTTTAGATTTTTAAAGCTTGTTTTTATTGTCAGTATATTTTAAATTTAATCTTAAGTATATGGGCCCAAATATAGATAATATATTCAAACCTTGTAGCAATTTTTAAGGTAGCCCTAGGATTTTATAGGTGTTGGTATTAGTATGTGATTACACTGAATACAGTTCTAATACATGTAGCTGTCTGAAATTCATGACAGTACAAGCAAGTTGTGCCTATTTAGAGTTCATTCTAAACATATGAATGATGAATTCTTACTTGAATTGCGTCTGCTCAGCAAACTTGATATGTGAGTGCATTTCTTTAGGGATGACATCAGTAGCGGGGTTTGGTCTGATGTAAAGATGTGGATAAAAACCCTGCTGTTCAGTCAGCCTCATTACACAAGGTCTGAGATGCATTAACTTCTTTTGGTGAGCCCCTTACATGTCCCATCCATGTTTGTGTGTGACTTTCCCACCAAAATGTAACAGCACTGTCTCCAAGGGGTAGGCTTGAAACTGTGTCCGAATTTTAGGATCCCTCTGTTTTTCAAGAGAAAAACGCAGGACCAAAATTGTCACACACTTGGCATGACTTACTGAGACTTGTGACAAAGGATTGGTAATAGCAGAGGCTGCAAATGCCCTTTCTCCCCTGTGGGTAGCCTGACAGGACCACACTTTGTATCGTGAGTTGGAGTCTGCTTGCCTTTGTCTCACTGTGAGACCAGAGTGGATCCATTGGCGTGAGTAGGGCTGTGCCTTGTGAAATTCCAAGTCCTTAAAAGCTGCATTATGATGACATAAGAAGGAGCTTGGTCTCAAGGCTGGTGTTTAGTTTAAGTGCACACTTAACTTAGTTTAGTTTAACTTAAGTGCACACCATCCTAAGTGTTCAATGATTTGCACCCCTTTGTGATTACACAGCCATAGTGCTGCCTGTGGTGAAAG